AGCATATCATCCTCAAACAAATGGCCTAACGGAGCGCCTGAACAGAACTCTGACTGATATGCTTTCAATGTATGTCGACGTCGAACATAAACTTTGGGATGAAGTATTGCCCTACATCACGTTTGCATATAATACAGCCGTTCAAGAAACAACGCGAGTGACACCATTTGAACTTGTATTCGGCCGAACAGTGACCACTCCACTGGATGCCATGTTACCACTGAATGATGAAAGCAGCAATCCACCTGGCCTAGACGACTTCCTGCAAAGAGCCGAGGAAGCACGACAGATGGCGAGATGCAGAATGCGCCGCCAACAGCGTGTCGACTCCTATCGGTACAATCAGCGTCGTACCGAAGCGCATTTTCAACCAGGTGACAAAGTATGGATATGGACCACAGTGCGTCGCCGTGGACTTTCTGAAAAACTTTTTAGCCGCTACTTCGGGCATTACGAAGTACTCCATCGTGTAAGCGATGTAACTTACCAAGTCAGATCCACTATACACGGGAGCTCAAAACGCCACAACCCTACAGAGATTGTACATGTAGTCCGGATGAAGCCTTACTATGAAAGATCACCGGAAGACCAGCGATGCCTACCACGAATCTATTCATTGTCTGACACATCGGGACGATGCGTATGAGGAGGGGGATTATGCCGCGACATAGTGCCTGCATTCAAACAACGCGGCCATCACCGCGCGCACATGCGCGCCGTCTAGTGTTGCGTAGAGACGATGATGATAGCACGAGAACCCAGCTGGCCCCGGCTGATGTGCGCCACGCGCTTGGGACTCTCCTTGAAGAAGTAGAAGAAGGAGACATCTTTGGTGTTCTGCTGTAACGTGCTATGATCATAGTCCCTTTGAGTTGTGGGCACAGGTTCCCCCTTTAATAAATACGTTTTATTACACCCCGAGTCCTTCAACATCGTTACAATATCTAAACCTTAAGCACACCTCTAGCTGTTATTTTGAACCAATCCTTCACGACAGGCGTGTACCCTGAGCAGCTTGAGATAGGGAGAGTGATACCAATCCACAAATGTGAATGCTCTGACAACATAGCAAATCACCGCCCTATAACAATTCTATCATGTGTGGACACTCTTTTTGAGAAGCTCGTAGCTAAAAGAATGATGGAATTCATTACAAAATAAAATATCCTAACTCCGAATCAACATGGATTCAGGAAAGAACACACTACGGCTACTGCGGTAAGCTTTGTGGCAGAAACAGTGAACCAAGCATTAAACAATAACCAATTCGTCCTCGGCATCTTCCTTGACATAAAAAAGCTTTTCATTTGGTAGACCACAATATATTGCTAAACAAACCTGAACACTATGAATTTAGAGGTATATCTTCAAAGTTCTTTCGTAGTTATTTGTCCAAACGGACTCAGTATGTACAGATACTTGGTAACAAATCAAACAGAAAGCTCATCGAAACTGGTGTACCGCAAGGTTCAGTACTTGAACGAATTTTGTTCTCCCTCTTCATAATTGATTAACCTCTTTCCTTAACCCATATGCAAGCAACTCTATATGCAGTTGACACTGCTTTACTCATAGCACGTCACTCTCTTCAGGAAGCCGAATCACTAGCCAATAAAAGGCTAGAAATGACTTCACTGTGGTTTCAACAAAACAACTTATTACTAAGTACAAAAAAAAAAAGTACATAGTTTTCACCTTTAACTGAAAAGTGATACCTCAAACACATGGTCTATTCATTGGAAAAACTCCCATTGATAAAGTGAACGCATATACTTACCTTGGTGTAACATTAGACCATTCATTTCCCTGGACATCGCATATACACAATTTGTGCAGAAAACTAAGCTTTGGATGCTTTACATTATTTAAGGCCAGAAAATATTTTAGCACACACATACTCCGTATCTTATACTTCGTGTTTCACTCTCACCTATTTTATTGCATTGAATCATGTAGCTACACATATGCCTCATATTGCTCAGTCATAACCATCTTACAAAAAAGAGCTGTACAAACGATTACTTCAGCACCCAAGAATGCACCATCGGCTGAACTTTTCAGAAATCTGAACATAATGCCTTTTGATATGGTTAGGCAATTGAAAAAGTGCATTATTAGTACGCAAAATAATGAACAAGAATGTACCCTTTCACGCATCAATTTAATTAAAACTCACAGGTGACACTCGGCAGGCCAAACAACAAAATCTTGATCTGTCAATAATACACAATGTCTACGGCCGTCGAACAATACCTTTTGTTGCTGCTAAAATTTGGAACAGTATCCCTACCCTAATTAAACGTCTGCCAAATGTGATTCAGCCACTCAGGAAACTTTTTCTATCGAAGAGCTACCAGTTGCCATGCTAATAATGTGGAAATATATGTACATATATAGCATTATTTCTGTTTTTTTTCCCTACATGTCTGCATATGATTTTGTAATCTGTGATTGAATTTTCTGTGTAACAATTTTTACTTGCTAATTAAACAAATTCCTTGTCGATAACAGATCCTTAATTAGTTATGCCTGCTACAGATCCAGATGTTTTCGCACAAATGATTGTAAGAAATTTCATTGAAAAATAAAGCATTCTTCTTCTTCTTCTAAAGGTATGTGGATGACAACGGTCTGCATATTTTTGCTCGCGGGTGTGCATTTCTTGACGACAAACTGCACTTGCAGGCATGAACAACCAACACTGCCAGTGTCGGCATGCAAACAGCACAGATTTCATAGGGCGAACTACAAATATGAGCCACTGCCATGTGGGTCTCTCACAGACTCCTTGGGAGCAGATACTATGGCATCAATGGATTGATCAAATGCAAAATGCTATGCAATTTTTTTTTTCTCTTGATGTGGGTGTGAATGGTGGTAAAGTGGGAGTGGGTCTCCTTTGTGCTAATCATTCCTGAAACCCTTAGATGCCCATCACAGAACCTCTGTGTTCTTTGGAATCTAGTCAGAGAACTGATGATATAAACACAGCCTTCATCACCTGCTGCACCGGGACAGGACTATAAACGCAATCTGTTGATCCAGGATGGGCATAGGACTTGGGCACAGCAGTGTGTTGACAATGTTTTTTTTAATAATTTGTGGAATATGTGCACTCATTTGATAGCAAATCCAACATTTCATACTTCCGATTCTTTGAACCCTTAGGCAGTCCCCGCACAGTCGAAATTGTCAGGTTGGCAACTGAAAGGACATTCAGCATACCTGCCAAGTTTGGAGACAAACGCAATCCAGGAGATCTACTCAACGGGGAGTATACAATATGTCGACCACGGGGGGGGGGGGGGGGGGGGAGAGGAGGTATTGCGATAGCAATTATATGAACACTGTCAGCGAAATTTTGTGGTTGCCGTTAATCTGTACAGAGTCCCAACCTATAACATCGCTCACGCATCGTCTGTTTTACGTGCGAGTAAAAGCGCCCTAGCACTAGTGACCAACGCGGCTGAAGCAGAGATGAAACGACCCGGCGGTCAACGTTGTGCGAAAAGCACAAGCCAGAACATGGCTCCGCGTGCGAGGCCTGTGGTCGCTTGGTTACGAGTTATATTGTCGGGCAAGGGACCATAGTAAATTCTTGCCGACCACTCGCCTTCCCCCAGCTCGACCTTCTCCACTCATATTCCGAGAAAGGAGGCAGTGTCAGGCACTCATTTCGGCAACGCTTGCGGTTGAGTTAAAAAAAAAAAACAAGAAAAAAACCCAAGAATGTTGGAGGAAAAAGGTAAGGATATCGGGGAGGAGCCCTCAATAAGGGGGTTGGGGATAAAAGAGCGAGGAGAAAACGGTCCGACTATAAAAATAGAAAAAATTTTAAAAAACTTCCGACTAGTGAAAAGGAGAAGCGACTGGTTAATCGTGGTGGGCGGCTTAAGAAGGCCCTGCCATTAGGTTCGAGGAACTCTTGCGGAAGCAGGGTTCAGCTTAGCTCCTAGAGGGAGAGGGGTCGCATAAAGGAAAGTTACAGAAAGTGCGTGGTGAGGTGTGGGCATAAGCATGCGCTGTTCCCCTTTCGGGTACAGGTGTTGAAGAGTGAAGGTCCATCGCAGCGTCACCCCTCCCCCCCCCCCCCCGCCCCTCTTTGTCCGCCCGAGTTGCTGCGCACCACTCCCTATTATGTCAATGTAAAGGGCTCACTATGCACTCCCCCCCCCCCCCCCCCCCCCCACTCCCAAAGGTTAACAGCAGCCCATCCACCGCTGGCTGCAATAGAACAGCCACAAAGAGCGCTGCGCATTTGCATTTCAGGAGCGCTCTCCACGTCAAGCAAGCACTCCTGCTGGAGGCACTCTCTTTACGCTCTCCTTTATTTTTTTTTTTTCTCTCTCGCGTGGAAATGCCAGCACATTCTACCGCCAGCAAAAGCATCAAGTGTACCACGGGGTCACTGCCCTCCCTCTACTACAATGGAGTTTTCTCTCTCTTTTTTTTTAGTTAATATGCGTGACCTTCAAAAACTGCACAGCCATGTGCGATTTCTCTGCTCCTACTTGGCAGGCCGCATGTTCTGGCGCTATTTTCACCTCTCGAAAACGTACATCGAACCGAGTTGAACCTTGCCACCATTGCTTAAAAAAAAAAAAAGAATCCTTTTTATTACGTCGCCAGACAAAGCAGTAAATGCGCGGGGCAAAACTGAATTTCCGGGAGATTTCCCTATGACCCGTACAACCGGGAGAAGCGTTCAAAATCCGGGAGTCTCCCGGGTAATCCGGGAGACTTAGCAGTATGATTCAGGCAGAGTAGCACTGTGCTATGCACATGATAACTGATGAAACAGTGTATAACATTATTAAGTGTAGAAAACAAATGAGGCTGAAGCTACTAAGTGAATACCAGCAATCAGATATCGTTGAACGGGAAATTTCGCTGCAGCTAATGTGATATACAGCAACATTCCCAACTAAATGTTTTCTAATCACTTCAAGTTTCCATCTTACCCTGAGCATCTACCTTTAGTGCATACTAACAACACTCACTTTGGCATCACCAACAGCGAAGGTTTTTGCTCTTTGGACTCAGAGTGTTGCGTCTTCTTCTTGCGTTTACGCAATTTTTTCTTCCTTTTGACTTGTGCTGATACAGAGTGTTCCATTCCAGTCACTTCGAGCTCCCCTTTCGCTGTGCCAGTGTCCGAGCTCTCAGCGTCAGTAGCGGTTACAGCGTCCTCATTCTCGTCATCCACCTTTACCTCTTTGAAAAATGCCACCCGTCCTGCTGCTTCACTGCTCTCGTCTCTTTTCCTTTTCGCCGGAGGACCATCTGCAAGTGGGCACAGTGCGGCGCAGATGGCGTGAATAAGAGAAATAATGGTTGGCCATTACACACCATTACAAATAATGGTTAGCTATGACACCACTCTTGGCTACATGTAGTGTTACAAAAAAATATGAAACTTGGTATATAAACAGAATGCGAGTTTTGTTCGTTTCAATCAAGTTAGTTTGACAGCATGATGTATAATATATATACTCAAACCTTAATATATACAATCCAGATATAACAAAATATTGGTTATAATAAAGTAAATGAACAGTCTTGCAATGTAAGGAATAGATCTTCATAACTAATTTTTGGATATAACGAACTTATTTTTGTGTAAGATGCAACTTCATTATAATGAACTTTGAATGTACTATATACATGTTTGCAAACAGTTTCCCTTATGTTCAAATGTACAAACAAGACCACAACAGCAGCTTGTGTCATGTGGCTTGCCCAACAATATCAAAGTGTTCAAAGGTGTCCGATCAAAGAAATCTATTCAAGCATGTAGTATGCATTATAATACGTACTAATATAACCTTACCTGCTTATCATTGAAACAAACTTGAAGCCAAGCATCTGTAGCTCCTCCATACTGATCAAACATACAAGTGATTTGGCTGTCACAAGTGCGATAGGTACAAGTATAGCTTTGAATGTCTAAATTAACTCTATCTGTTCAGAGTTTACCTTTGCCACATTTCTTGTAGCTTCAGCATAATCAAAGACATGCAAAAGCAGAATAGCTTAGCAATCCTAGACTTTTCAACAAATTTCGTTTCATCCATATATCTAGACTCTAAGCTCTCGCAGATATACAGCTGAGGTGTGGAAGCTACTTCAACTATTTAGCGCTAACTGTGCTTGGACAATGCCTACTTGCTCAAAAAATTTGTCTAGTGAAAATCACAACAGTCAAAGACATAAAAAGTACAATAAATTGCTTAACAATATACTAATAGCAGTAGTGGGAATGCCTTCCAACATTTCGGAGCAGCCATTGAAGCGGGCACACCTGCTTTTGGAGCAGCCACCTCTGTGTTCGGAGCACACATGGGTTTTTTCATGATACACACAGAGGAAAAAAATTTAGCTTTATTTACTTTAAATGTTCTCTCAGTGTACATAATAATTTATACAGAAGCAGCAAGCCCACAAAACAAGCACAAAAATATAAACAAGATCCTATAAAGACAAAACAGTAAAGGATGTTGCGCCAACTAGCTGGCTGCAGCATGAAGATTTAGCAGCCCGCGTGCACACTCACTCACATAGGCGTGCTTACGGAAGGAACAGGGGGGGGGGGGGGGAGGAGGAGAGAGGGGTGCAAAGCCAGCCTCGTATATTGATATGATAGGGAGGGTGGCACACTGTGACGAACCTTCGTCACCCCCCCCCCCCCATGAAGAGGAACTTTGCACATGCATATGTCCCCCCCCCCCCATGAAGAGGAACTTTGCACATGCATATGTCCCCCCCCCCCCCCCCTACGTTCAAAGCTTGTTAGAGTAAAACCTCGTTAATACGTACATACATGCCAAAAATGCGGCAAGCTGCGTATAAAACGTAGCATGCGTTTATAAACAAGTAGCAATTTTTTACGTGTGCCACCACCGCTGAAAAAGGGATAAATACAGTGCCACAGCAAATATATTGCCTAAACTGCCCACCCAAATCCATTTTGTTTCTTCGCCAATATTCAGAAATGATTGGTGCTCTCGCACTATCTCGCACGGCCGCCCGAAGGCACCCGGTGGTGACATCAAGGAGCCTCTCCAAAGTACTTAGGAGTCCGGGATACGCCGCCGACGCACCGAATGACATAGCAACAAAGCGGTCATATGCAGCTGTCCACGATCAATGTGTACCGTGATATGCTACTTAGAGAAAACAGACAGCTTTTTGAGACCCGGTATGGTCGCAGGGGAGCCAATTGTTTACTGACTAGTTGCGTGCAGCGCTTCGCCTATTTGGCGTACACATTGTGCCGGCTGCTTGCGCCCACTCCACTTCAAACCAAGCAGAAATGCGGCGAGAAGGGTATTGCATTAACGCAATAATATGAGCTTTCTGCAAGCAATGCTCTGGCAGTCTTAGCAGCAGACGGAGGTGCGTTAGGGTTGTTGCCTTATGAAAGCGTGCAGTATGCTTGTTGTTTTGGTGTCCACGATCCACAACGCTTAAATTCGCAACAGCGAGCTGCTTTTGTTTTTGCAAAGCGGTGGACGCTGAACACTCCCATACAACAATAGAGGCGGCAGCGATCGGCACCTGAATGCACTCAGGTAGTCACCAGCTATTAAAAGTGTGCAGTAGGCTTAAAGCGACGCCACCCTGCACAAGTATGTTTTTTATCGGTGATGTCACATTGGCAGACTTTTCAGTGGTCACCACATCGCCTTCGGTCTTTGCCAATGGTTACAAGAAAAGGCACCGCTGCAGTTGAGTGGAATCCGGAATAATTGATTGGCCGATTCTATGCTGTTACAACAGCACAACCGTACGCGAATTCAGCAGCGCAAGTTTCCAAGACGGCTGCCATCTCGTAATTTTGCTCACGATTGCTTTCAGTACTACAATGACCTAGTGGCGCAGCAATGGCACAAATAAGACAAAAAAGGCCCCTTTGAAGCAGCATGGCACAGTAATTTCTTTTCCTATCGGCGCAGGTTTCCTACCACTCTAATAGTGTCACAGCTAATGCACGAGCATTTATCTTTAACTCCCTTTACTAAAAGTACATATCGTGCAGATTATAAATCTTAAAATACAGTTACAGAACAAGTATAACCAGAAGTACTTAAAGAAGTATCATTAATAAAGGCATTTTTATTTTCATTGCATCATGTAGTTTTTTACATGCGGTAACTCCAACTTGATATGCACAACTGCATTACTTAGAGATCCAGAAGGGGCTGCTAAGGTGCAATTTTTCACTCACCAAGAGAAATCCAAAATCATAAGCGGACGCCTCTGTCTAACAGTGCTCACTTACAACCTGACTGACAACTACCATTCAAAACAACTTCTACAACAAGCTTAACGTGCAGTTTGATACTATGCAAGGCTCGTTTTTATAATTCCACACTGGGTATTTCTTTCAAGAAATGCTTCATGTCATACTTTTACTGGACTTCAACTGCAATATTCTGCTTAAAACATTTTACAACTTGTATAAAGGAAAAATGAAGATGGCCAACTTGCCTGTGATTAATGACCTTAAAATACCAGAGAACACGCTCTGGTGTATGCCTGGTGGCGTTAATTCTTTCAAAATAACAGCTAATGTGGTACATGCATGCAGTGATGGAAGTGACTTTTCACTTTTCCGAGCATACTTTGGAGCAGAAAAGGTACTGTTTTAGAGCAGTCATTAGTGTTTTAGGAGCAGATACTAAATTTGCTTTATAGCGATTGGAGTTCAAAGCATCATCAAAGAATCACGTCAATATCAATATTTATTATGAAATATATTTCATAGACACTAATAAATATGAATTTTAAGAAGCAACCAATTAAAATGATGGCTGGTTGTCCAAAATGTGCTGCAAAATGAGTGATATATTTAAAATATTCATATTTATGGCAGAAGGCAATTCAAACTAGTTAAACTGAGTACCGCATTTTAGAAGTAACCATGCCTCATATAACTGTTACCAAACAAGCAGAAGATCGCCTGTATGAAATAAAAGCAATTCTGCTCATTTGCACATTTCAACACACTAGACTGCATGTATAGCTGAAAAAAAAAAAAAAGCTGCCAAACGAGCTATATGCTTAATATGCCAGTTCTTGTCGATAATGCTGCACACTAGTCACACACTGAGATGATAGTATACAAATTATTTTCAGTTTATTTAAAACTTAGGAGCTGGTCAAACAGTAAAAGCTTATCATTCTCATTCTCTCAGTGCCATTTCGGAGCAGGTTTGGAGCAATTACTAAAAAAAAATTACTGTTTAGAGCAGCATCTCTCTTTTGGGGCAATACTTACTTCCATCACTGTGCAGACTGTTTGCTGTACCAAATATGTAAAATACTTAGAGCATTTTCAGGGTTACAAAATTTCAAAATATTGTTAACATTTTCCCCCTCTGTGCTAAATTCTATTTCAATAGTGACTCATTTATCGACTTAACTCAGAATTATTTTGTAGTTTCTTTAGGATATCCGGTGAAAGCACCAGAGCACATAGTGCAAAACTATGTATTTTAAGTGCTGCACACTGAAATGTGTCATTCAAAATTGTGCCATTTCTTTCAGGCCTTGCCCTTCAAATAAGTGACCTTGATATGTGGCAGGACAATGTAAGCAGCTGGGTCATTAACCGTCACAGCAGCTATCGCAAGGGTGCCACACAGTGCAAGGGTTTGGGAGCAGTCCTGGCAGTAGGAAAAAGTGTCTTTTGTAGCAGGCTTGGTGCATCCAGAAAGGCATCTTAGAGCAGGCTTGGGGCAACCACAAAACTCTTTCTGAGCAAGTTTGGAGCAGTCACAGTAAATGTTCAAACAGATGTAGCCTTATTTCCCAGCTCTCTTGAAGCGAGATTTGTCCAATGCTACATTTTTCAAAGAATAAGCTTATTGTGCAATAGCGTCACTATTGCAATAGCGATTATATGAACACTCTTGCCAGGTTTTTGATGTCGCCATCATGTCCCATATAAAGTGCAAATTGATAACATACCCACGCAAATTTGTTCTACTAGTGGGTAAAAACGCGCGATCAGGGGCAACGAAAGGTGAAGCAGAAATCAAATGAGCCGGCCCGGCTGCCTCTATCGGAGGGCACATGCAGTGACATCACCTCGCTCAGGAAGCCCGCCGCCTAAAACACCATTAGCGCAAACTTGAAAGAAGACGAAAAAAGAGACTCTTCTTTCGTCTTCTTTCAAGTTTGTGCCAACGATGTTTTACACAGCTACACACCAACTAGCCTGACAGCATACGTTACAAAGCCTGCCGTCGAAGAGAGAAGAAACCCCCCACACGTCTTGA